CTAAAGCCGCTTCCTCATGAGTTTGATTCCCGCCTGCCCCGGAGGTGACCACATGGCGCAGCAGACCTCTCTTGTCTCCCCGCTGCTCCCCTCAGCAGTGTATTTCAGTAGATCTGCCTGTTCTGCTCCCCACTCTGTGTCTGGTGAATTCTCTCACCCCCACACCTCTGGCCTGCATCCCAGTTCTTCTGTGCAAAAATATTACATTAAAAATACATACGAATCATCTTTCAAAACCCTCTAATCCATGAAAAGGTGCTGAACATAGCTCTTTGCTAGGGAGATGCAATGCAGAACCACAGCACGATGTCACCACGCAGAGCTAAGGGACCATGATTTTTTAAAAAAAGATTTACTTACCGGCCCTCCCTGGTGGCGCAGCGGGTTAAAGCACTGCATTGAGAAGCTAACGCCACTTCCGCATGAGTTCGATTCCCGCCTGCCCGGGAGGTGACCACATGGCAGGCAGACCTCTCCTGACCTGCCCGCTGCCCCCTTCAGCAGTGTACTTTGTAGATCTGCCTGTTCTGCTCCCCACTCTGTCTCTGGTGAAGCCCCTGAGCCTCTGGCCTGTACCCCAGTTCTGTATGTATAAATAAATAAATCTTTTTTAAAAATAAAAAAAAAAGATTTACTTACTTATTCATACAGAACTGGGGTACAGGCCAGAGATGTTGAGGGGTGAGAGGATTCACCAGAGACAGAGTAGGGAGTAGAACAGGCAGATCGACAAAGTCCACTGCTGAGGGAGCAGCAGGCAGGACAGGAGAGGTCTGCCGCGCCCTGTGGGTCAGCTCCAGGGCGGGGATCGAACTCGTGCTGAAGTGGCTTTGGCTTCTTGGTGCTGTGCTTTTAACCCGCTGCGCCACCAGGGAGGGCCCTGATTTATATTTTAAAAGACAAAATTCAACAAGTGATGGTGACGTTGTGGAGAAGTTGGAAGTCTTGTGCCGGTGGTGGGAATGAGGGAATGTAGCCACTGTGGCTAATAGTATGGCCGTCCCTCAAGACAGTAAGCATGACCAGATGGCCAGCAATTCCACCTCTGCGCACACCCCACAAAGAATCGAAAACACGTACGGAAATCTGTGCACCCGTGTCCGAGGAGCCATGTTCACAGTAGCCAAGTGGCAGAAATCACCCAAGTGTCCACCAACAGGTGAATAAACAAGACGTCCCCATCCATGCAAGGGAACGCCAACAGCCTGAACAGGCGAGACAAGTCTAAGATGGGATGAACCAGAAGGACATTAAGTAAACCAGTCACAGAAGGAAAAGCACTGTAGGGCTCCAAGCTCTGCCACAGAAGAGCAGGAATGAAAAACGACCTTGTGGCCCTCCCCCTTCATATGAAATCCAAATGTTAAGGGAAGGATGTCCTGAAGGAACTCTGCAGAGTCTTGTGGACTCCACCCCTACTCCAGCTTTCTGGACACTATCCCCTACTCCAGTGATTGGAACTACAACTCCCAGCAGTGAGGTGTTGGGGAGCACTTTCCCATTGCGTTGGGTAAATACGGATTACAGTGTCGTCGGGGGGGTCTATGATTCCGGCCTGTTGTGAAGTCAAAAGAATCAGGAGCCCTTTCTTGTGGCCACACCTTTCTTGTCCAAGACCCGGCCCAGTTACCGTGGACACTACCGCTACTGCCCACCAGGGGTCAGGCTTGGCTTGAATTTGGCGCTGCTGGGGGCCGGATCGCCCGCACCTGTCTGAGATTTACAAAATCTGTTGGTCCGTTGGGCGACTCTCTGCCTGTGTTTGAAGCCGCCGGCTATTTCGCATGCGATCTCTTCGTCTGAATTTGTACCTTCTCAAGACCGTGCATGTGAGTTTGCGTCTACTGGGCTCCCCTGTCGTCATGGAGGCGATCGCCCAGTGTGTCGGTGTGTGTGTGTGTCTGTCTGAGTAGCTGTGTCTCCACACTACCTATGTGCTGGCTTCACGTGTGCTGGCGTGTGCACACATCGGGGCAACTGCCTGTTGAAAAAGGACGCCGGCATTTTCGCCTCTGTGTGTCCGTATTTCTGCTCATTTCTGTCAGCTTGCGGCATTTTGCAGGGGTCTCTGGGCAGGGTCTGCTCGTCGCCATGAGTTCTGCGTCTGTGTCTTCTGTCGGCAGGAGGTGCTTTCTGCCAGTGTCTCTGGGCACCTGCTGCCATCACGTGAGGGAGGGGAATTTTATACAGTGAGTGCCTGTGGTTGTCTTTTCCCGTGTGTGTTTGGGGGCGGGGGTTGTGCTTCCTCAGGGCGATCCGTATGTCTGTTGGCCCGTTAGGTTGGGGGAGGGGTATCTTAATGTCATTAATTTATTCACTCATTCATGCATTCATTCATTCTTCATTCACCTGTTTCTGAGACTCCCTAACACTAACGTGCTGTCCTGACCACCTCATGCCCCAGCCCCCAGTTCACACGTTAGAGTCCTCACTCCCAGTGTTTCCCAAGTGACACCATTTGATGACAGTCTTTGAAGAGGCAACTAAGTCAAAATGCGGTAATTGAGGAACTAGGGTGACCCCTGATTGCTCAACTGGTACCTAGAAGGACACTAGAAGTGACACCCAGAGCTCGAGAAGACACGGGAGAAGGCAGCGGCTGCAGACCAAGGAGAAGAAACCACTGCTGACACCTCGATCTTGGACTTGCACCTCAGAGCTGTGAGTGGCGTCTGAGGTTCAGGCTCCCAGAGGTGCGCGTTGTTCCGGCAGCCGAAGCAAGCAAACATGGCTTGCTGTGACTGCATCAGACCTGTCTGCAGAGTGCAGGCAACTGAGCAGGGGACCCTCACGGTCAGCTGACCCTCGAGGCCAGGTTACGCGGAACAGCAAGTGTCATGGTTGGAGGACAGTGATAGGACCCCCGAGAATGAGTTGGTGACCGCAACCTCCTCTACTCCTCTACACCACAGCAACAGGCGGCCCAGGCGGCCATCTTGGTCAGTCCCTGGGATGGCTAAGGGAGAGATGACCTGGGAGGTCAGAGCCAAGCCCGACCCCCTATGACTCCACTCCCTTTCCAGCATCCTCTTCACAACCTCAGGGTCCTTTAAACATGGCAAACACTTCACAGACTCCAAGGTCCAGCTCCCCCACCTAGCCAGGTGTGCACAGAGCTGCTGGGCACCAGCTCACCTGGGGGCACCTGAGGGCAGGGAGAGACCTCGGCTATGCCAAGGTCCCACCCGCCCTGGAGTGGGTGGTGACTTCACAATTCTGAGGACACAAACTAACTCTGTGTCCTTGTCCAGGAGATGTCTCAGCTTTCTGCCTCGGGAAGGTGACATCACTTTCCCAATGTGTTACGTCTACTTTTACAGGTGCAGCCCCCCTGGGGGGTCCTTCCGGAGCCTGGGTTTGAAGTTCTCTGCCCAAGAAGCTGGTTTTCATGTGATTTGGTTTTCAACCAAATCAAATTGGATCAGACCAGGTCAGATCCGATAATAAGTAGGAAGCACTTGTAGGCAGCATGGAGTGGTTGACTTGGGAGCCCTGTGACTTAGAAGTATTGACGATTCCCCAAGTCCACATACACTGTGGCCACAGGCCAGTCCTGACCGCTGTCCTTTTTCCTAAGGGTTATCCGGCAGCTCCCGATTAGCCAACAAAGCAACTTCCTGGCTTTTAAAATTCAGAATCTCTATTAGAGATTCTGGATTTTGGCCTTTAAGCCTCAAAATTCTAAACCCCGAGAGGCTAGAGCGGCCTGGGCTGGGGGTGGGGGGTGCTGAGCGTTGGCGCTTCCGTTCTGAGCTGAATGGCTGCGCTGACGCTGTGTGCACAAAGCCCGTGAGGGCCTCAACTTCGTGTTCTGTGTGTTTTGCCACAATTTTAAAAAATAATAAAATCTATTAAGTTAATATTTTTCAAAGTCTGCTCACCTCTGGACAACCATTCATCAGGGTGAGTCAACTGCTGCAACAAGATGGACCAGGCTCCCCAGCGTGGACAAGGGTCGAGTGGGAAGATGAGTCCAGGGGTCCACGCATCCTCCCGGCCACCCCGTCTAGATGGCTGCAGGCTGGGATGAGAAAGGGAGAGTCCCCTGGAGCCCCCAGGACCCCAGGAAACACCCTTCCTGCCTAAGGCAGCAGCTTCTGCTGGGCAGAAATGGCTTCAAAAGGTGTAGGCCACGTCCCTCGATATTCAGGGAGGACACAGAAGACCCCATCAGCCTCCTCCCACAACTGCCCGGTCCTGACCACAACACTCCACATCCCCAGGACCACTCCACCCCTCCACTCCAAAGCCAGTTCTCTTGGACCTCCAGGGGTCCCCAGGAAGGATGAGCCCCCACCCCCAGCTGGCCACAGCACCACCTGCTGTATTGCTTCCTTCCTGCCACACCCTTCCAGCTGCTTGCTGGGGCTGCCTTGCAGATAAACCTTGCACCCCCAAATCTTCGTCTCTGTCTTTGCCTCTGGAAAAGCCAACCTGAGAAAGCAAGCTCACGATTTACCGTCCAAGCCAGGACGCATGGGAGAAGGAAATGGACTGTGAGGAATGAACAGGACAAACGCCAGGACTGTCAGGAAAACCAAGAGCCATATGGAGTCACCCCACCCCGCATGTGAGAAGAAACAGCCAGTATCCTGCAGGCTCCCCGAGGGGTGTGGAAAATAGGGGTGGGAGGAGGTGCAGGGTGACAGACAAGGACAAGGACGCACCGACATTTCCAAAGCGCCCTTGAGGCAGAAGCTGGCCACAGAGGAGCAGCTGTCTCCCTAACAGCCATTCCCCAAAGCCCCTGCGCCCCAGCACGTGGGATATAAACACAATCGTGGGGAAATGGACTGAGGAGCTCAGACTCCACAAAGATGGAGTTTCTACTGCTCCGCGAACCAGAGGGGCTCCGAGCAGCAGCGCAGTTCTGCCCAGGAAAAGCAGGGGAAAGCTGGAAGTGTGACATTCTTGCTGCGGGCCGAGTTCCCCCCTCAGGTCCTCTCAGTGGTGTGCCCGGCCTTCCCCTGCCAGGCCCTCCAAGGACAGCAGCGGCTCGTTTATCCTTTTATTAAAGGCCTGCCTTCAGCAGTGTGTTATAAATTAACTCTGACGGGGCGCAATCCAGGAGCCCCGCCAGCTGATGTGAGGCCGCCTCATTCCATCTTGGACTCAGCCTGTGGGGGCTGTTGCAGTCCCTGGTCCTGCTGCCTGCTCAAGCAGGCACAGAGCCTGGAGTCTCGTCTCTCTTCCAGCGGCCAAGGCTCAACAGTACTCAGAGTAGTCCTCCTCCACGTAGTTGGAAGGGAACCAGCCCACCTGGGAAGGGATGAAGAAATGGTCAGAGCAGCCTCAACATGCTCTCCCAGCCCCAGGGCCTTTGCACCTGCCACACCATCTACCCCCCAAAGGCAACCCCCAAAAAAAACCAAAAAAAAACCCCCAGAACCCCTTCAGTCTGCTCTTCACCCGCCACCTTATCAGTAAGGACTTCCTAACCCCTCTACTTAAAACTCCAAGCCCCACCCGCCCAATATTCCTTCGTCTCTTATCCACCTTTTTTTTCTCCATAGCAGTTATCACTATCTGATTAACTGTATCTGTTCCTTATGGTTTGTTATCTTTCTCACACTCACACACTCAAGATGAACTCCACAAAGGGGGGATGTTTCTGTCCTATTTACCCACTGTGTTCCAAGAGCCCAGACTAATTTCTGACACACAGCAAACACTTCATGAAATACTGATGGATGGATGGGTGGGTGGTGGATAACACCGACAGACAGGGGAGTGAAATACCCCCAAAAGGCTCTCTTAAACCCCACCTGTCCTCGACTGCACACCCTTCACCACCCCCCCACTTCTTTACGATATTGTTTACCTAAGTCATTATTCAGTTCATTTCTTCACATTTTTCCAGTAGAATGTAAGGTCCTAACGAGGGTCCCTGCCTTCATTTAACTTATGTTTTGAGAAATCATTATAAACGAGGGAATATTCTAGCAGCCAGGGCCATCAGAAGATGAACCAAGAGTTTTCTTCCATTATGAGACTGAAGTGAGAACAGGCAGAAACAAGCATTTCTGAAGAATGTTGAGGTCCCTCTATGGCCCCAAACGAGGCTTTTGTCAAAGCACAAAAGGTGAGTGGTTAGTCCAGTTCTGCCAACTCATGTGTTCAGTATTTCTTGAGCACCTACTTTGTGCCAGGCTCTGTTCCCAGCACTGGCGATACTGCAGTGAACAGGTCAGACATCAGTGCCTTTGGGGTCCCCGACGTGCCGGCAACTCAGCCCGGGGCCCCTGCATATGCTGGTCTTCTGCCTGGAATATTTCCCCTGCCCCCTCTATAACTGCTTTGCCTGTTATCTTCACTAGTCGCTCAGCAGCTAGCTTGGCCCTTCTTTCTGCCCCATTGCCAGGGTGCGCCAGAGGCCCCCTCAGGACTCCCAGACTGCCCTGCGATTCCCTAGCACAATACTGCCCACGAACATTGTGCTGTTTGGCTGTAGGTCTGTTCTCACTACACTGAGTTTTCTACTGCGTGGAGCCCACTTTCCTCTCCTCGGTGACTGACAGGCTGCCCAGCTCACAGTAGAGCAGGTTGGATACGTTTAAGAAGTCTCTAAGTCCCTTCCTCCCCTCCTGCCGGGGAAGACCTCCCCGCGACCCAGGCCTCACCTGCTCTATTCTGCAGCCCCACGACAGCCAGATCACCCCCAACCCTCACTGCCACACTCCCCTCCAGCTCACCCTGCCGTAGATCTCTCCTCGCCACCAGCCTTGCTGTCCCTTCTTGCTAAGGATCTTGATGATGTCGCCCTCCTTGAGGGACAGCTCTGACCGGTCCCGGGCACAGAAGTCATAGCGGGCTTTGGCTGTGCCGAAATACTTCATGTTCCCTGCTATATAAGGGAGAGAGAGCAGGGGTGGGAAAAGAGCCCGGAACAGGCAACCATCCAGCGTCCAGGGGCCATGCGGGGAGCAGTGCTCTCGGGAGGATAACACCAGGGTGCAGGAGCCCCCAGTCTCCCTTGGACTCCCAGAATTAGCACAGCCAGGACCAATAATATCATTTGTGAACTTTATCTATTTATGGTAAAAGAAACACAGGAGAGCTGTGGATTCATTCTAGGCTGTTCATACTAATCACCGTAAGGAGAACCAAGGATAGAAAAAGAGTGATTGGAAGAGAGATGTGTAGAAGGGGAAAGACTCAGAAAGCTTTTCCTAATACAAAGTTAATCACTGTGCATTATTTCTGCAAATACATGAAGAGTAACCATCCACATAGTCACCAGGAAAGGTAATGTGTAGTCAGACAAGGAAAACTATTGACCTTGATGGTTACAACAAGTTTTAGCCTCCAAGTCCTGATGTTATGTTGCTGTTGCTGTTGCAAAAACAGTAGTATTTTTATTATATTACATTTTAATTCCCTCTGTTATAACATTTGGACATACATATAAAAAAAATTCTGGAGAAACATATGCCAGAATACACCCCAGCAAAATGAAATTTGTGTTAGAAAAGCAAAAATATTGCTTAAATCTAAATAATTCTTGATTCTGTGTTTGCAAAGTTATAATCAAGTGTTAAGAAAGGATACCTAAAATACGTCAGGTTGTTTTTATTTCTAGGAAAAGGCATCCAGTATTCAAATAATTGCGACAACTTGGTGTGAGGAAAAGACAAGTAAGAGAATACAGAAGACTTGGCTTTATTGTAGAAAAGGTTCCAGATAATAATAATTAATGCCTGAGGTTAAGACAAAAAGATGCTTCAGAGGGGCCAGCCAGTACTCTTCTGGTTCTTAGTGTCCTCTGCTTCCAACACAAAAGTGACCCCCAGTACCCCCAGTGGTTTAGATGGTTCTTAAAGTGACCCCCACACGCCCCTCCCATCTAAACCACTGAACATGCCAACCTCTCAAGAGGAACCCCTGCCTTTCCACAGGTCTGACCTCTGCGGCCCGCAGCCCCTGGCCTGGCGGCTCCTACCTGGTGGCTTGCTGATGGCTCTTCTCTCGGGCTCTTTGTAGGGGAACTGCAGGGTGGTGTCTAGGGACTTGAAGCAATCCTTCAGGGAGTTCTGTTGGTAAAACTCCACCAGCTCCTGCAAGGAGGACAGTGCAGACGTTACCCTGGTGAATACGAGGGCACAAGGCAGGAAGCAACCACACCCACTAACTCAGGTGTCGCAGCAAGCCACGCCTGGTCTCCCTGGAAGGGGCTCCCTGAATGCGCCCTATGACGGGAGCTCATTCTCTTCTTGGGACAGAAAAAGCGCTTCTGGGATGAATTAACAGTGCCTAATGTTCCTAGGAAGTCAAAGATTCCTTCAAGGGTTCAGTGAAATCAGAGACATCCTCCCCCTTGCAGATATGTATACAAACGTGTATGTGTGTGTGTGTGTATCTTCATTACTTGTGTATGTATGTGTGTATACATGCATACATATATACATGTACACACACACACACACACACACACACACATATAACTCTGAATTTTCTTTCAGGGAACTCAAAATTCCGCAAGGATGCCCAGACCATGGGTAAGATCCAAGTGCTTCATACGGGCTTAAGATGTTTGGGTCACAAGGTCAAGACACCAAAGCAGCAAACACCCTAGCAAGGTCGCTGAATCTTCAGTGAAATGATCACCCAACACACTCAGGCAGGCTGAGTCTTGAACTCTGGCACGGGAGGGGCTCGCCAATGGCAAGACCAGATGTGGGTGTGTGGGCCTGTCTGTGACCTGGGAACTCAGGACTCACGGGAGTCCTGCCTGTTAGATGCTCGAATGACTTCACTGCTGTCCTTCACTGCTGGCACCAGGTGAACAAGGGTAAGGCCCGTTGTATAACGGGCCTCTTGGAGAGGGGTTGCTGTGAGTTTCGGAATTGAGAGATCCCAGGATGGAGCTTCCGGTGGGTCTGGCCAAGATGCTGAAAGTCTGGGCTGCTACGGTCCTTACCAGAAGCCCGCGGAAAGCCTTCTTCTCTGTGATCCGGTAGAGTCCTTCTGCTGTCATGATTTTAATGTGCTTGACCTCAACATTACATCTGCAAGCAGGGAGAGAGGGTCAGATGCTGGCTGGGCCCTGAGCCTAGAATTCAGGCCCATCCTGACCCTGCCATCTCAGGGCCAGGCCCCACCATGGAGGAATGTGGCCGCTGCAGGGGGGATGAAACAGCCAAAGCCCAAAGCCGGAGGCTGCCTGTCAAGGGCCCCTTCTCAGACTGTGTCGGTCTGGGCCTTCTCATTTCTCCCTCACTTCCTCTAATTTCATCTTCCTGACTTGCAAAGATGTTGACAAGTCAAAAAGACATTGTAAGGAAAGCAGTGTCCTAGAATAGATAAGACAAAGTTCCACTTCCACCAATATGTGGCATCATAGACTCATGGGTAGAACAGAGACCCATCCATCCATGTGGTAGTCACAGAAGAGGAAAAATGATGAAGGAGTCACCCATTTCCACCAATATGGTGGACCACAGACTAGGCCACTGGGCCTCAGGCTGGAAAGAACAATGGTGGAGACATCCACTCGCACCAATATGAGAGCGGACCCTCGGCCAAGAAGAACAAGGGAGGCATATATCCTCTCCACTAACACGGGGACTACAGCGTAAGGAGGGGGAGGGAAGAGAAACTTACTTCTGCCAGTGTGGAGAAGCAGATACTCAAAACCCTCCTGCAATGCAAAACTGCTAGAAATGCACAAGGGGAAAAAATGCTGAGCTCTGAAAATAAAAGGAAACCCCCAGAGGTCAAAAATATGGATGAAACTGAATACTGAGCAGTAAGCCGCTACTCTAAGGGGGTGTCGATGCTGGGAACCCAGGATCTCACATCTCCATGCTCCACCAATGCTTACGCTGAGTTACTGGGAGCTGGAGAGTTGGCACTGGAGCTTCCCCCGTATCCCACAAGGCTGGACCAGCACAGAGGACCCCCTCAGGAGGAGGGTGGCCTAGGAGAACTCTCAACCAGGGGAGCAGGGCCACAGGAAAGCGTGTCCACTCAGACCCAGGGCAGGACAGTTGCCCTTAGAAGTGCTGGGAGCAGCAGCTGACGCAAGTGGTGCTGAAGCCCTGCCTGGTGTAAGACAGCCTGACGCTCGGCTGTTAGCCAGCTCCCCAAAAGCAGAAAATCTCTGGTGGTCCGGGAAGCGGAGGACAGCCTTGTCACCCAGGCCCAGGCTCTGGGTCTGTCTTCAGAGCATATGCTAAGAAACCTCACTCCTTTTCCACACTCCTCTTCCTCACATCGCCAAGTTCTCTGTTCTGCTCTCTGCCCCTTCCCAGAAACTATGAGTCGTCACTGGAATGACCAGAAGTCAGGCGCCCATCCTGACCACGCCCAGGGCTGCACATGTTACAGAGAGCCTTCCCCTGCTCCTCAGCTGCTGACCCTTTAATTATTCTCCAGCCCCCAGAGGTAGAAGAGTGGAGACTAGTTTACTCCCCAGCAGAGCGTGACTTCCACCAGCCTTTTGCTACCTTTGGGGTTTGCATTTATGTGTTTTCTGGGAAATGAAGGAATTTTAACCTAAAAAAATGTTAGCCTGAAAAGGAACCTGTTGGTGAACTCAACAGAAACAAAGGTACAATGTCTGGAGAAACCGGCCATCAAGCAGTTCCCGCAGTGACAGTGAACTTTTCGGATGACAAGACAAGATCACAAAACCGAGGCGAGGAGTCACCAGAGCAGGAAGTTGCCCTGAGCCAGCGCCCAAGGCCCAGCTAAGCCCCTTTCTGCCCCTCCGGGAGAACGTTAATCGCCTTGCCCAGGCCTCCTGGGGACCCTGTCAGTCTTGTGGACTGTCAGTCAACGAAATAATAATACAACGGAAAAGCCAGGACACTCAGGCAATTGCTCCGCCCTCTCTGGGCACCAGCGGGGCGTGGGGGGAAGGGAGATGGGTGTGTGGGGGGGGGGACGAGTGTGGAGGGAGGATTACTTAATGCTGATGGCAAACTCCGCAGCGTCCTTCACCCTCTGCCGCACCAGGAAGGTGCCATCCGAGCGGCTGGCGAGGACGTTCTCAGCCTCAGCCCGCTCCATGGGCCCAGCGTACCTGCCGACATAAAGAGGGGAGTCGTGGGCATAGCCACCCTAGCGGCGCCGAGGCCACGCCCCCGCCCCACCTCTGGGATTTCTTAAAAATATTTGTTTTTGTGGAGAAACTGGGTGCAGGATAGAGGTGCAGGTGCGGGGGCTGAGAGGGGAGCAGAGACAGAGTGGGGAGCAGAACAGGTGGGTCTACTGAAATCCGCTGCTGAGGGGAGCAGCGGGGAGACAGGAGGGGTCTGCGGAGCCCCGTGGGTCACTCCCTGGCGGGGGATCGAACTCAGGCCTTCCCTTGGGCCTGGGTCCACGTAATTGGCTCCTTTTACCATGTTTTGGCCACTAATTTCGCCACAACTTATAAAGCGAGGGCAGACAAATCCACAACCACAAATCCACAACCAACAAAGTGCCAACACGTTTAAAGGCTCAGCTCTGAGAGCACCTGCGCCGCTCCCGCTCCGAGCCCCGAAGCCCTATTTACATGTTTTTCTTCTCATCAGGGATTTTGGGACCTAGATTTGTTCGTAAGAGGGTATTCGAACATCTTGGACCGCGACGCCTCCGCTGTTCCCCATCGCTCCAATTCTGCCCCCAAAGGGAGTCTCCCCCTCCACCACCCCACCCTCCCCCACCCCACCCCCTGGTGAGCCCCGCCCAGCAGGGGAGGACGCTGAGGGCGCAGCCCCGGAACCACAGTTCGAATCCAGGACCTGCCACTTCGTTCCTCTGTGACCTCAGGAACTGATTTGGCTACTCAGCACCCCGATTTCCTCTCTTCTTTACGAGGAAAATGAAACTGCGCGCCACCGAGGATGTTTTTGTCAAGGGGTGAAGCAAGGCAGGGTCTTGCAGCCTGGCCCACCAGGGAATCCCTTCTCCTTCCCTTCCGCGGGGGACAAAGCACTTCCCTCCTCGGTGCCTTGGTTTCCCCTGCTGCGCTGTGCAAAGGGAGCCAGAATGCCCGACGTCCGTCCGAGGCGAGGACAGTTGGTGTGCACTCGGGACTGTGGTTGGCTACGGAATCCGGGGTGCTCAGGTCTCAGGTTGCAGAGCGCCCCAGCCCTTTGTGTGAACTGAAAATCGTGCCCCAGTGGCCTAGGAGTCGAGTCCCAGCGCTGACACCTCTGCAACCTGAGTTCCATTCAGCTGAGCTCAGCCCCCATGAGGCCAGCAGACCTCTCCTGTCTCCCTGCTGCTCCCCTCCGCAGTATGTTTCAGTCCATCTGCCTGTTCTGCTCCCCACTCTTGTCTGGAGTGAATCCTCCCACCCCACCCCACTTCTGGCCTACACCCCAATTCTTGTATACATGAATAAATAAAAATAAATCTTTTTTAAAAAATCACGCTCCCTACAATTAGAAGACTGTGACTCCAGTGATTGTAAGAACCATGTTAAATGTCAGAGGTGTTAAAACATGAAAAAATGTGCCATTTTAGAATTGATGAAATGTTCTGGTAACCATGGTGCTAACAAAACAGCTAATGAAGGTCTGAGAGTGTGCTACCCGCTGGACTAAGTACTCAACAGGCAGCTCAATGAAGCCCCTAATCACCTTGAGGAGACACTGTTACTATTTTCCAGAGGGGAACCCTGAGGCAGAGAAACTGAGTCACTGGCCCAAGGTCACACGGCTGGAAAATGCTGGCACATGGATTTGAACCCAGGTGGGCTCCAGAGGCAACACTGAGCACTTCCACTGCTCGGCTCATGGGGTCTCATCAGGGAAAGGGGGTACCAGCCCAGTGAGATGCTAGCCTCCCAAGGTCCGGGACACTGTCTGCTATCTCAACAACCCGCCACAGGGGGCTGGACCCAGCTGTGGAAAACCAAGGCTTGGAGAATGAACTACCGGCTGGCATGGAGGTGGCTCCCATCTCAGCCTGGGCATCCACCCAGTACTGAGGTCCCCAAAATAAAAACAAGAAAGCTGTTCCTACTCACCAGAGATGAACAGACAGGTCCTGAGGGGGGCCCTGGGGACAGAGACAAGGCCCAGACTTAGGGCAAATTGCCCAGCTTGGCAACAGCCTTGAAGTCCCTCACGCCCTCACTCCCTCATTCCAGCACCACTTGAGTGTGTCTATTGTGATAGGCCCTGCCTCCTGGAATGCGGTCCCAAGGCCTGCTGGGAGAGACTCCCGCCTATCAGGTAAGTAGGGTTGTCTGGCCAGCTGTTCTAGCATGACCTTCAAGCCAAGAATGGCTTTTCACAATTTTAAATGGTTGGCAAAACGTAAAAGAAGTAGTGTATTTCCTGGCATGTGAGGCCTTGAGCGTCACGTGCTGGATCTGTCTGTCCAGCTCTGTTAGGACATAGAAACTTACGGGTTGTTTCCGGCTGCCTTGCGCTTCTATGGCAGGGCCGAGTAGTCACAAAGGGCTGGTCTGATCCTGGAAGCTAAAAATACTGGCTACGTGTTTATTTACAGGAAAAGTGTGTGAATCTCTGATCTAAATAAATGTACCACTGCCTGCAACACCCATTAGGGTGGTTGCTGAAAAAGGAAGAGAAAGGAGAGAGGAAGGGAGAGAAGGAAAAAAGGATGGACAGATGGATGGAAAGAAAGAAGAAGAAAGAAGGAAGGGAGGAAAGAAGGAAATGAAAATGACAAGTGTGGGCAAAGGTATGGAGAAACTGGAACCCATAGGAACATAAAACAGTGTCATCGCTGTGAAGATAAATAGAAGTTCCTCAAAAATGTGAGAATAATGTTGCCATATGACCTAGAAGTCTACTGAGTGTGTAGCCAGAAGAATTGAAAACAGGAACCCACAGAGACATCTGTACACCAATGCTCAGAACAGCATTTTTCACACAAGCCAAGTGTGGAAGCAGCCAGGAGCCCCTCGACCATCGATGGATGACCAAGATGTGGCCCGTGCATGCCGGGACTGGGAAGCTGTGGCACATTCTACAACAATGGCTGAACCTTGGGAACACGGTGCTTAGGGAAATAGACCAGTCCCAGGAAGACAAAGGTGATATGATGTCACTCATCAGAGGTCCCTAGAGGAGTCAAATCCACAGAGGCAATGGGATGTGGGCACCAGGGGCTGGAAGGAGAGGGAGGGGCTTAGTGTTTAATAGTGTAGTTTCCCTTTGGGAGGAAGAAGGAGCCCTGGAGTGGGAAGGTGGTGCCCTGGTACTTCTTTCCACTGCAGACTCACACAAGAGTTAAAATGGTCACCTTCGTGTTACTATGTTTTACCATAATTTAAAATAACAATGAGGAGGATATAAAGAACCATTACCTCTATGGAGTTCCAAAGCATGGCCCTAAAGGAAGCCCAGGCCCGGGAAGCAGTAACCCCATCGCCCCACCTCCAGCTCCTGAACACCACCAATTTGCACAGTGTGGATCTGAAATATCCACTCTGGATATTTCATTAAAATGGAATCACTGCAAAACAGACAAAATTTTATCCCTGAAGCATATGCTTTAAAATAGTTATTTTGTGTTGGGTGAGTTCCAGCTTTTTAAAGGAAGAAAAAATGAAATGTTCTATGTGCAGTGATAAGGAAGTATCCCAGGATGTATTCAGCATGGCGGGCAGGGGACAGCCAAGCTGCAAAATAGTGATTAAACCTTATAAATAAACTGGGAGGGAAATGAGAATCCATATTTGTACCACTTGTATTTTCATTAAAAAAAAAAAAAAAAACCTCCAGACAGACAAATGAACAAATGAATAATAGAAACCTCGTACAGTGGGTGGGAGCAGGGGGGCCTGGAATGGAAAGGGAAAGCGTCATCTTTTCTGTCTTTTCACAGCACCTTCACTGTAATGGCAGAGGAGGCAGCGAGGGTGGGTGCAGACTTAAGGAGATGGCAGAAACTGGGGAGCTGTCCAGACCATGGCTTCGGAATGCCACATCCCACAGAGAGGGCAGAGCTCTTTGGAGAAATGGTTGATGCCAAGGTGGGGGCAGGGGTGATCAAGAGACAGCAGGGGGGGAGAGGTGCTGGAAAACAAGGAGGAGATCCAGTAATGATGAAGATGAGTGAAAAGAACAGAAAAGCTGACCTGAAGGACCTCCTGCTGGCCAAAGCTGAGCTGATTTAAAAAGACTACAAAAGAGAGACGGAGAGAGACTGACTGATTGATTAATCAATCAGAGAGAACTGATAGATTGAGACACACATATATACGATGATTGATACAGAGATACAAAGGTGATCATTAAATACACAGTGATTGATTGATAAATAAGTACATAGATGAGTGACATAAAATGCATAGATTCATACTGATAGAGGTACAGATACACAGATAAGGACACATGATTTTAGATAGATATGAAGATCATTGATTGACATATATGTGATTGATGGATTGACGGGTATGTATAAATAGACATAGATGCATACATGATAGCTAGATGTATAGATACATAGATGATTGTTAGGTAAATATATAGAAGACCGATTGGTAAGTGGATACGTACATAAATGATTTATAGATACATAGCTGATTGATACATAGATACACAGGTGATCGTTACCACATGACTGATAGCTATGTAAACATTAGGAACATGGATGCTAGGCAGGTGCATAGGTATGTAGGTCTATGCACACCTACATACACATATATAGATTAGAAGAAATGACTTTTTCTTTCTAATGTTTCTATATAGAACTTCAGCTGATAAATTTGGAAGCAACAGTGTAGTGGAAACTATATAGCCCCATTGTCAAGAAACCTGAGCAACTCCAGACAACAAAAAATATATATAGGGAAGATATTTTTTAATAAATTGACAAAATTTAAACACAGACTACGGATTAAATAATAGTATGATATCGATGGTATGGTTGTGTAAGAGAAGGTTTTCAGGAAGTATGTAGGAATAAAGGGGAAATATGTCTGTAGATTGACTTCCAAATGTTTCACGATTAGTAAATAATAAAATTTAAATAAAGATTGCAGAGAGAGAGAGACCAAGCGGGATGACATGTCAACAATCAGTAAGTTGGGGCTGAGGAGTGCATTGTTCTCACTTCTGGCAGTCTGATATGATATAAAATTAAGGTGACAAGAATGGAGGGGTGTTCCCTCTTAGCTTTGATGTGAGCTGTGACAAAAAGCAAGGGAACAGCTGAAGCTTGGGGAAAGTCCAAAAGATTAGAGTCATCCTGGTAAGGAAAAGAATTGGTGAGCAGACCCATCCTAAGAACAAGAGGCTGGACAGAGAAGACGTTAGGAAGGATGGAGGAATGAATGGGAAATATGTCCATAATCTGACTTTTCGGTGTTTTTAAAAATATTTGGTGGGCTAAGAGGCATGGCTGGGTATGACCATGGCAATCCAGGGCTCCCTTCAGCACCTCTGAAGGAAGGTGGACACTAGCCAGCCTCAGAAACCCTGTTCCTCCCTACATGAGGGAGACAACCTTCCTTCAAGAAAAAAAGGGAAAATACCTATACTCAGGGTGGTGCTGGCTTGGCTCCGTCAACAAGGTAGGCAATTTGAGCTCAGGAATGACCTGTCAAAATGGGCAGCCCCTTCTCTATGTCCAAAGTGTCTCCCAAGGCTGGCTGCCCTCACAGGACCCCTTTGCCCAAGATCCAACCAGACTTGAGGGACTCACATGCACGTAGGGCTTGACCTTGTTACAGGGAAACCAGCCAACTTCATTGGTAGATATATTCCTGCCCTAAAATGGCAGGAGGGAAAGACAAGAACAAAGAGGTTACCATCAACCCACATATGTGTGCATCCTTAGGCTATATAACAGAGCCTATGGGCTCTGGCAGTGGCCACTCCAGCTGCCCTGCTATCTATCTCCCTTTGTCCTGAGTGGCCCAGAAAGGTACCTCCAATATCAGTTTCCTGGGTAGTCAGCCCGAAAAATCCCTGTCTAAACCACCCTCCCCATAGCATCCAGAGTGGCATTCCGTTGCAAGAAAAATTCAGTGCCCCCTTTTGCCAAGGTCACTAACACCTACAACACCATACTTGGGTCCTTCCCCATCACTCCCAGGACCCAGACTGTACCTCCCACCAGTTCTGCTCAGCCTCAGCCTTGGTGAGCTCCACAATGTCTCCAGAGTTGAGTCGCAGAGGAGGCCCAAGGGCTCCTGGTGGTGGAGGAACCCCATAGTACTCCTGACACACCTCCATTTTGGGAAGACCTGGAGAGGAGGGAAGGTAGAGGTATGATGTGATTAGTATTCAAGGATTTCCGACCCTGAGTCTGCCACCCTTCAGAATGCCCAAATTTTTTAAAACTGATAATATCAAGTGATAGCAGGGACATGGAGCAACTGGAATGCTCTTATACTTTTGGTGGGGATCCACTTCGGAAAACCATTTGGCAGTGCCTACAATACTAAAACTCAATAAATTTCTAACTGGTGATTCAGCAATTCCTCTCTAGTATGCAGTCATGCTTCTTTTTTTTAAAGATTTATTTATTTATTCATATATAACTGGGGTACAGGTCAGAGATGCAGGGGTGAGAGGATTCACCAGCAACAGAGTGGGGAACAGAACAGGCAGATCAACGAAGTACACTGCTGAGGGGAGCAGCAGGCGGGCCAGGAGAAGTCTGCCGTGCCATGTGGATCTCCTCCAGGGCAGGTGGAAATCAAACTCATGCGGAAGTGGCTTAAGCTTCTTAGTGCTGTGCTTTAACCCACTGCGCCACCAGGGAGGGCCCACAGTCATGCTCCTTTTAAGGATATTTTGGTTAACAGGTACGATAGTTTGTCCCCATAGGCTCTGTTATATAGCCTAAGTATGTAGTAGGTTATACCATGTAGGTTTGTGTAGTTACACGCTATCATGTTAGTATAACTAAATCATCTAAAGATGCATTTCTCAGACCACATCCCCATTATTAAGTGAGACATAACTGTACACCAAAGAGAAACGAGAACACATGTTCACCAAAGTAATAGGCTAGAATATTCACAGCAAACTGATTCATGATTGTCAAAAATTGATAAAGAACCAAATTTCCTCAATAAGATGGATGAACAGATTATGGTAGAAGTGCATTGTGGAATACTACACAGCAGTGAAAAGAGCAATGTACTAGTACAAGCAACAAATCAATAAATCTCAAAAACATGCAGAATAAAAGAAATCAGAGTAAGTAGAAGTATATACTGCCTGATTTCATTTTATGAAGTTCAAGAACAGGTAAAACTAATTCATAGGGAGAGGAGTGAGATAATTGTTCCCTCCTCTAGGATACTGACACTTTACTAAAACATTTTATCATGATATTTTTTGATCAGAATCAGTAGGAAGGGAGGAAAGGGCCATCAGACTCATGCCACTCTGGCTAAGACTGTAAAGGAGTTTGCCAGCAAGGGGGGAAAGAAAGAGAATTTAAAAAGTGGATAAGAAAAATGAGCATCTCAACAAGGGTAGTTATGCATGCATCCCTTCGCTGTATTGGGTCAAAGCAAATAAAGAATTTCAGTCAATTATATTAAAATTCCTTTTGGGTTTCTAGAACTAGAATAAGTGCAGGACATTATGTGATCATTAATATAATTGTTCAGACCTGCCCTAGGTCAGGCAAATACCTGATTTCTCCCCCCCCCCCCCACATAGTGATCCTGACTCACCTATCTCGTTCTTCTTTTTTTCCTGAGCCCTGCGATGTAACTTGTCCTACAGAAAGAGACCAAGAAGTCAGTCATGGCTACCTATTCCCTGGAGGCTTCTCAATCCCTGAGTATCCAGTATAGGACTAGGCCCACTGCTGGTGTCTCCCGTTTTCTCTTCACCTTACTCCCCATGACTTTTCATGCACAGAAAGGAACATGGAGGCCTTACCTTTTTCAGAGTCCCTGAAAAATCTATGGGAAGGAAAAGGAAATAGTCAGGATGGGAGACTCTCCATGCAGAACCAAGTCCACCTCCCACCTCTCTCTCATTTGTACCTTGCCCTTGTCGGCCACAGGGTGGAACCCTCCCCAGACACTCCTTGTGTGCAGGTGCCTTGCACCGATGACAACGGTAGCCCTGATAGAAAGTGCCTCTGGGATGCAGGAAGAGATAAAGAGTCAGTGATGCTGAATAGACACCAGTCATTTTGCCAAGCAAGTGAAGGGTCCTCTGGGGTTCTTTTTAGGGCAGGAAAGAGATGGAGAGCCTCCCACCTCTCAATTCAAGAGCTTGGCAACTGGAGGAGGCACTCTAAAGTTGACCAAGCCCAAGACCCAGGCCCAACCTCCCAGACTCCCACCTCAGCAGCATTTGGCAAGCTTTGCAGGATGCAGTCTCCTCAAAGGAAAACATCTGGAAGTCATGCCCATTGGCAGCGGCATTCTCAGGGTAGATGTTAGAGCTGGCAAAGGAAGAAAGTTCATGCAATGAGGTACATGCTGCAACTTGGATATATCAGGACTTCGTTACTTTTCATGGCTGAGTACTATTCCATCGTGTGGATATACTGTATTGTGTTTTCCATCCACCTGTCCATTGATGGACATTTGGGTCGCTGTCATCTTTTGGCTATTGTAAATAGTGCAGCTACAAGAACTGGTGGAGACAGAACGTAGTTACTAGATGCTGGGAGGCAGGAAATGAGGAGTGATTACTAATAAGGGGCAGTGTCTCCTTTGAGGATGAAAACCCTCAAGGTGGTAGTTGCACAACACTGTGAATGAATTAAATGTCACTGAGTTATACACTTTAAAAGGGCTGTTCTCTTTATTATGTGAATTTCACCTCAAGAAGAAGAAAAAACGAGGAGGGGGGAAAGAAAGAGGAGAAAGGGAGGGAGAAAAAGAAGGAGGGGGAAGAGGGAGGAAGGAGTCCCAGGCAAGTAGTTGAACCTTGCCACTCAGAGCCCACGACCCTGCAGTCGCCTGGTCGACCAGCGGACTTGGCCCTGCGGGGACGGAAGCCTCTCTGTCTCATTTCCCAGGGGAGGAAACTAAGGTTCAAAACGGTCCCACAAAATGGCAGACAGAGGTGAGACAGAGCAGAGCATGGCTTCCCAGTCCCTGCCCCCAGGTGACCGTCCTCTGAGGGCAGAGAGATGGAGAAGAGGGGCTCACATGGCCATCTCGAACTGCTCCATCCACTTCTTCTTCAATTCTCGCGTCTTAAAGAAGAGCTCGTAGCCCTGGGTGCCTTGGTCCTCGATCAGGAGAAACATGTGAGTCCACTGCAGGAGCAGGGTTTAGAATGAAGGCCCCACCCTGAAGAGGGCAGGAGCACACACCCACTCACCCCTGCTCAGGGAGGGGTAAGGCCAGTGTCAGCCTCTGGCCCCCAGGAGAACCAAGCACCCATACCCTTGTCAAAGAACTGCCAGCGCAGCTGAGCACATAAACATGCGGATTAAAAATCGCACATATGTACACACACTCATATCTCACACACACACACGGGCATTCCAAAGGCCAAGTACACTGGGACTCCTCAAGCTGTATCGGGGCTCCCGGGATTGGGGTCCCCGAGTCTGGCCTCAGAGTCGCACCTTCTTGTTGTCGCGATCTCCACAAGAGTCATCTCGAACTTGGAAGCTGTGCAGATGCACGAAGTTCTTCAGTTCATAGGAGTCTCCTCTGCGCTTACAGAGGAGCAGGGCCTTGTCCAGCAGGAAGGCGTACCTGGAGGCAGCTGGGTGAGGGGCTCCCGCGGGGACCGTCCCAACGGCCTCCACGGCTCTCTGAGGCCCACGCCCTGGCCCAGCCCAGTCCAGCCCGGCCCAGTGCTGTCCACCTGGGGCCACTTTCGTCCTCTGCGCCCACTTGAGCACGCTCAACTGCTCATCGTGACCTCACCCAGAAGATCCGCGCTGGCCCTGCCACTTAGGGATCTCAGCTCCAGGCTCATGTCGAGACTCTGCCTGCCAATCGAGCTCGTCTACCCTCCCCCTTCTCTGGGCAACCCCACCCACCTGTCTATCTAGAAACTTGGCCCAACCCCTCCCCGGCCTCTCACCCCACCCCCTGTGCTTGGCCCCGCCCACTGCCCCTCTAAGGCCTGGGGCAAGCCCTTGCCAGGCTCAGTCGTGGCTCACGCCCGCTGTGCGCACCTGTCCATCTTGGAGCGCCGTTCCATGGTGGTAATCTTGAGCTCCCCGTCGATTTTGGGCCGGCCGTAATTGGCCAGAGACTTGTCCTATGCAGCAAGCAGGGAGTCTGTCAAGGGGCCCCCAAGAAGGAGCCAAAATCCCCTCCCAGGGGCCACACCCTTGGCATTCCCGGGTCCCCCCTCACCAGGTTCTCGATAGACAGCTGGAAGTTGGTGATCTGTCTCAGTGTCTCATTGTCCCGCTTGACCTCATTCACGCACTGTGCCAGATCCTACGGGTGGGGCAGGGGTGAGCCGGGGCTCCCCACCCCCCACCCGGGGCCCAACAGAGGCTTAAAGGAAGTGTCCACCGCATGTTGGTACCCTTAAGGGGTTGCCGCAAATGACTTATGACTGCCATATGGGTTTGTCACCGTGTGGTGGGAGGTCCCGGGTGTGACTTGTGGCGAGGGCACCACCCGCTCTGCCTTGAATGTGTCCATGCCCCTCCCGGCCCACTCACCCTCATGGCATCCAGAGCCAGCCGCAAGTTCTCCTTCTCTAGAGGGTCTTGTGTGTGTTTCACCAGCTCCTGCGTGGCCAAGGGCACAGACATAACCTGGGGTGCCCCTTCTCCAGGGGTGGGGGTATGTTTCCTCCAAATGAGCCTGGCCAGCAGCTCTCCTTATTCACCCGGCTGTCCCTGGAGGCTGGGGCATGGCCTGGGCGATTCCTCCCAGCCCCCACTCCCATGGCTCGGGCCAAGCCCAGGCTCAGGAGACCCCTCTTGCACACCTGAAGAAGGAGGTGATACTTGAGCACACGCTGCATTGGCACCATCAGCAGGTCCCTCAAGGTGAACCTCCCATTGTTTGCTCGCTGAGAACATTCCTAGGGGGTCAGAGAAAGGGGTGGGCAAGATGAGGAGGAGGCAAGTATGAGTTGTCCTAGAACTGAAGAGCCTATCTCTCCAGGCTAATAAGGAAGGAAGAAAGTGGTAGGGTGAAGGGCAGTTTAAGACCTAATTGGAAGGCTGCCCAGGATGGAAGACCAGGACTCTGCCAGTGAGCAGAGCTGCAGAGGGGAGGGGTGGATGTGGAGGGCCCGAGGGGGCAGGAAAGGCTGGGCGCACGCACACTTGATCTCTTATCAGGCCTATGGTTTCTTTGCTTCCACTAGGCGCACGGCTTCAGGCTGGGATTAAGTCCAGCATGAGGCTCAGTCTGGGATCTGAGTCTGGCGGAGCTCAGCGTGAAGTTGGAGCCCAGCCAGGCTTGAGGCTCGACTTGGGGCTGGGGTTAGTTTAGAGTCAGAGTTCAGTGCAGGGTCAGGACCACAGCCTGGCATGGGAGGTCAGCCCCGAGCCGAGGTCTAACTGGGGTCAGGGTCCCGTTCTCTGGCCCACCCTGACCTACCCCATTTCCCTGACATGTCTGGTCAGCCCCTTCTCTCCCCCCAAACTTTCCAGCGGAAACCCTAACTGGACCGTGGCATGGGGGGTGAGCGCAGGCTCTACCTCCAGCTTCATCTTCACATCCTCCCGGGCTGTGGCAACCTGGTCCAGATGCCTGCTCGCTGACTCCACCTGGCTGCAGTATCGGCCATACACAAGGAATCTGCAGGAAGAGCACAGGTGACGGTGGTGGGCACCAAGGTGGGCACCTGGCTCCTTCCCAGCTGGGGGATGCTGACCCGTAGGCCTCCCACCTATTGAAGGTCATAACCACCCCCACTCCGGTGGAGTGATTACAGCCTTAAATGAGGTTTGCACAAGGCGCTCAGCCCAGCACCCAATGTATCTATGTCTGTTCAGTGTTCTTTCGGTTAACACTAATTAAGCACTCACAGTGTGTCGGGCCTGTGCTGAGCACGGTAGACAGCAATTTATTCAGTCCTCAACCCCTGGGAGGCATGTTTCTCTGCCACCCTGATTTTATAGATATGGAATAAGAAGCACAGAGAGATTGAGTGACTTCCCGGTACCACACAGCTCACAAAAGGCAGAGCAGGGAACTGAACCAGAGCTGGGCAGGCCAATACCAGAGGAGGGGAAGCTCCCCGGTGTGATGGCCTCTGAAGGTGCAACTCCCAAAAACCCAGCCTAGTCAGGGCAGGGTGATGCCTAGGACTCTGGGCTGCTCAGCTGCGTCTCACCTCTCCTTGTATTTGATGAAGACTTGGTAGAGGGTGGATGCAGCAGGGGTGATCAGAGCTTCCTTCATATCCTTTATGAATAGGGTATGCACTTGAAGCAGGTCCTGATCAGAGAGAGGAGTGAGTAGGGCCAAGCCTGAGACTCAGGAAGCCAGGCAGGAGAAGGGTATTACACCCATTCTGTGGTAGTCGACTCCCCAGGGCTCCAGGGACAGATGGGGCCAGCACTACCCCCACTATCAAAGGCCTGGGAGGTCTGTGATGAGCTGGCTCACCTCGATGTTGATGAAGATGGTCTCAATGTCTTGAGGTTTGAGGAACCGCTGCAAAGGTTTCATGAAGTGCTGCAAGGAGGGCAAGAGGATGAAGGATGGTGAGCTCCAGAGACAGAGACAAAGAGACAGAGATGGAAAGAGGCAAACAGAAACAGGACAGGAGAGAAAAAGATAGACAAGAAAACAGTGACAGAAACAGTTACAAAAAGGTGAAGACAATCCACACAAGAATGTGTCCACAAACATTCACAGCAGAATTACTCAGAGTAACCAAGAATAGTGGGAACAACCCAAATGCCCATCAGGAGAATGATAAGCAACACACACTTTATCCAGATAGTGGAATATTACTCAGCCGTGAAAATGAGGGAAGCCCAGGCACGTATAAAAATAGGTGAACCTTGAAAATGTAATGCTTTGGGAGATAAGTCAGATATAAAGGTTATTAATATGAAATATTCCAAATTGCAAATTCACAGAAACAGGGATAGCACATCTAGTAGTTTTGCTACAAAATTTTTGCCACCTAACTATTAGCTATAAAGCAATTCTTTATAAATAAGAAAAGAATAACTGATCAACAATTTAGTTTCATTTCTCCAAATACAAATTAATCAACCACCTTTTTTTAAATTTATTTAAGCTGGTTGTCAGTTTAGTTTCACTTCCCCATTGACAGAATAAGAAACCAACTCTTTGCAAAGTGATGGGTTATCATTTTCCAGTACAACAGCATGCGACCTGATGTTACACTCTGATTTCACGTGTGTTGCAAGTTTGATCACCAACTAGTACCCCGCAAAATGTATAATATTATGAACAAACAAGAAGCTCATAAGCAAGTGCATAGGTACATCTCCCCCCCAAATTGTCATAAGTGTACACATTTTTAAATGTATCTGAATATTTTGTATTTGTGGGATTTTTTTAAGATTTATTTATTTTATTCATACAGAACTGGGGTCCAGGCCAGAGATGCAGAGGGTGAGAAGCTTCACCAAAGACAGAGCGGGGAGCAGAACAGGCAGAACGACCAAGTACACTGCCGAGGGGAGCAGCGGGCGGGTCGGGAGAGGTCTGCCGCGCCATGTGGTCACCTCCGGGACAGGCGGGAATCGAACTCATGCGGAAGTGACTTTAGCTTCTCAGTGCTGCGCTTTAACCCCCTGCGCCACCAGGGAGGGCCGTATTTGTGTTTTTAATGTAGTCGTGCTCCACATTTCATGCCTTTTAAATGTCCCTCTTTCCTTTCTCATTCTTTTCTCTTTCACAGCAAACTTAAACACAACAAGTAGCTATATGACAAATACGTTTGCGGTGACACTATCTTAAACTGAAAGTAGTTTAGCGGTGTCCAGTTTAGTAGTTTAGTGGTGGTGGGGTGCTCAGAGCCTGTGGCTATGGGATTCTTTGGTGAATAATGAAAATGTTCCAAAACTGAACAGTGGTGATGACTGCACAGCTTTATGTTCCAAAACCAGTGACTGCATTGCATGGTACGGTAATTAAATCTCAATAAAGCTAAAGAGAGAGAGAGAGAGAGAGAAACCATAATGACAAGAAAACAGAAAGATACAGACAGGGATAGAGAGATATGCAGGGCGAGACACCCAGGGAAAAGGAGACAGAGACACAAGACAGAAGCAGCGTAAAAGATAGAGAACCCCAGAGATAATGGGAAAGGGCGAGCCCCAAAGCGATGGGCCAGGGGCGCCTAGAGGCGCGTGCCCCGAGTGGCATCCCTGGGGGGTGGGGGGCAGCTCCTGCGCATGCGCCTGGCACCTGCTGGATGGAGCCCAGCGTGTCCGTGTACTTCTCCTCCGTCTGCTGGATCTCTCGCAGGCAGCAGCACCGCTTGTCATACTCGGTCATCTTGGGCTGAGAGTGGGGCGAGAAGCGGTTGGGGGCGCCGATCTGCCCCACCCAGTGCCCATCCAAGCCTCGCACTCTGCCCCACGCACCGGCATGGGCAGCGGCTCCGAGCGCATGAGGTCCTCATAGATCTCATCGCCCTCAGCCTCCTCGTTCTCCACACAGTCGTACAGGTCTTCATCCTCCTCCACTGTGTCGCTGGGGGACAGGCAGTCAGGCGCGGCCGCCAGAGCACCCAGCCAGGGGCCCCTCCACCAGTCCCAGATCAAAGGTGTGTCCCCATGGACCCCGGAGCAGAATTATGTCCCGTCGCACCCCCAGGGCAGGACCCTGTCTCCCCAGACCCCAGAGTAGGGCGCAGCCCCAGACACTCACTCAATCTGGTCAGACAGGCCACTGTAGATGTCATCGTCACCCACACTGTCCTCGTCGGTGGGGAAGGGCCTGAAGGAGCAGGAGGTGAGCAGAGGGTGGGGGTGGGCAGGGAGGGGCTTCAGGCAGGAGGAGGCTTGCTGCCAAAGAGGCCCAAGGCTGTCGGCTGTGGGCTCATGTAGGTACTTACATGATCCCCTTGTTCTGGGCAATAGGGGTCCAGGACAGCGCCGACAGGGTATAGATGACCTGTAGCAAAGGCCCTCTGCTCAGTGCACCCTTGCACGCCCACTCACCAGGCCATAGCCTCTGACTCCGAGCGCCTCAACTGGATCTCGTGGTGCACCCCCAAGCTCTAGGAGCCTAATTCAGAGTGGTCCCTGTTTGCTCTCCCCCTGCCAGCTTCCCTATGTTCCCTTCACTGAACACCTACCACTGGATCCCATTCTATTTAATCCTCACAACCACTCAGACAGGATGAAGGACATTCCACCCACATGCCAGACTAGGAGCGAGGGCTCAGAGAGGCACAGCCACATATCTGAGGCCACACAGCAAGTGGCAGGGCAGGACTCCAACCCAAGTAAAGCTCTTTGTGTCTGGCATAGTCTGGTCTGGCTCATCAGCCGTTGCCCAGGGCAGATGTTCATTAAAATCCAATCTACCCAGGGCCTCCCTGGTGGCACTAGTGGCTGGGCTGCACATTGTGGGGCTGGAGGCAGCCACTGTAGCGCAAGTTCAATCCCCAGCCAGGGAGCGACCCACATGGCACGGCAGACCTCTCCTGTCTCACCCACTCCTCCCCTCAGCAGTGTGTTTCAGTCGATCTGCTGCTCTACTCCCCACTCTGTCTCTGGTGTCTCCTCTCACCTCCCCCATCCTCACACTCCGGCCTGTACCCCCGTTCTTGTATGCATAAGTAAATGAATCTTTTTTTTTTTTAAATCCAATCTACCCAGTTTACCTTCCCAAAATCCTGCACATCGAAAAGGTCAAAGGCCTCAAATAGCTCACTCCGCTTAAGGCCAAACTTGTCACAGCAGGTAGATAAGAAGGTCCGGATGTTCTTAAGGCACAGGAACTGTGGGGAGAGAGTGAGGTACGCGTGGCAGAAACATGAAAGGGCAGGCTGAACCCCGGGTGTCCGGGCTGGAGGACATCGTGGAAGGGAGAAGAGCACAGATCCCTCTAAGTAGCCACAGCCTCTATGATAAACAGCAAGCTGGGCCTGGAGCCCATTCCACCCTGAACTTTTCTTCACTGAGCTAAAATTCACATGTCACTTAACAATGGGAGATGTTCTGAGAAATGCACTTTGACCATTTCATCACAAGTGTCCATCACGGTGTGGTTACACAGACCTAGGTGGTACAGCTAGGACACACCGCACTGTGCGATGGAGCCTGGGGGCCCCTGTCCGCTGCCCCGTCAGGTCCTTCCTTGACCAAAGGTATCACGTAATGCTCCACTGTGCACGTGCAGTGGAGTATGATGAGCCATTGAAAGCAAGGAAGTGCCCAAACCCTTAGACAGAAAGTGGATTAGTGATTGCCAGGAGCTGGTGGGAGAAGAAATGCTTTGGGCATGGGGTTCTTTTGGGGGCAAAGAAAATATTCCAGACTTAGACAGTGGTGGTGGTTGGACAACATTGTGAATGTATTAAAAACAATGAATTGTTCACTTTAAAATAGTGAATTTTATGGTATGTGAGTTATATTTCAAATTTTTAAAAATGCATTTTCCAGATCCTTCCACTCATATTTACTCAGTGAAACCTCCTGTAGACACCTGAGTCAAGTCTCATCCCTCCTCTGTCCACAGCCCTCCAGGGCTCTCACCTCTCTTGGAGAAAATTCATCTTCCCTGAAGCAAGCAGAACTCTGCACACCTGCCCCCCTTTCCTCGGCCCCACTCACTCTGCTTTAGACGCTCGGGCCTCCTTGCCCTTCCTCCAGTACGGGGCGGGCACAGTCCTGCCCCAGGGCCTTTGCACTGGCTGTTTCCCCTCTTGCAGGGCTCTTTTCCCTGCCTTCTGGACTGAGCTGTGCCCTCCTCCACCCCCTCTCCCAAAACTTCAACATGGGGCTGCCTTTGGAGATGGGAGCTTTAAATAGGTAACTAAAGTAAAATGGGCCCTAATCCACTCTGACTGGTGTCCCTATAGCAAAGACTCAGCACACCCAGTAAGAAACCTTTGTGAGGGTGTAGGGAGATGTCCAACCCTATTTAAAATGAGAGCCCCTACTTACTCTGCATTTTCTTTCGTTTTTTTTCCTCTTCTTCCTAATGTGCATTTTCTATTCTCCCTGAAGGTGCTTCAGCTGTTTTCTTTATTGTCCATCTCCCCCAAATAAATGCCCATTTTAGCACTGTCTTCTTGCCAGAGTGGACGTCCAGCATCCAAACAGTGCTTATCAGCAGTAGAACCCAAATAAATATTTGTTAATGGATGGATGGATGGCAGTGGAGCCTAGAAAGCTCCATTTCACAATAACAGACTCCAGATGACTCCTGTGAATGTGCCAGCCCATACTCTGATTCTACAATAACAGTGTCTGCATTTCTTAGATGCCTAGGATGCGTGATCAGACACTCAGATTTATCCCGTTCTCATGACAGCCCCATGAGTTTTTAATGTGCATTTTACCTACCAGGAAGCAGGCTCAAAGAGGCAAGGAAGCCTCCCAAGATAATTATTAACAGGAAAAGCAGGTCAATGAAGAGCTGAAATTTAACCCCTGTATGGTGTGAATCTACAGCCAACTTCGTTGACCACAATTTCCATGTATTGCTTTGCCCTCAGTTCCCAGCACTGGCTCTCTATTATTTTCAACTTAAATATACTTTAAATCAAAAATTATGTATATTTACAGTGATGATCTGATACCAGTATTCATAGGGACAAGATTATTACAGTCACGCTAATTAACTTGTCTCACATAGTCACCATGCTTTTGTGTGTAATGAATATATCTGAAATCTACTCTCTTATATATTTCCACTGTTCAGTACAATGTCATTAAGAAGGTCATCATGCCTCTAGATTGAATCTCTAGACTGGGTCATCCTATGTAACTGCAGCCTCTTGACCAATACCTTTTCTGCTAATTTCTCTCTGCCCCCTACAAACATATATAGAGATGGTATTCTTGCAAGGAGACTACTATTATTATCCTCATTTTACAGACAAGGAAACTGAGGCAGGAACAGAAACAGCCAGGATGCAGCTCACTATCAAGCCTTATGCTGTAGCTGCCACGCTCAGTAGTTGACCACATGACATATATAGGGCACCGATGTATCTCCCACTGCCACATTCAGGTTCTAGCTTTTTCTCAGTTACTCCCACAACCACAATATATATGGAATGTGGACTTTACATAAATGAATGTATTTCAGAAAAGAACTTTATCTCCTACTATCAAAGGAAACCAAGACCATTTGCCATAACAGATGCAAGTGTAAAATAAATAAAATGTAAACTGAGCTATTGGTCTAGATGGATCATGTTGCCTGCCCAAAGGCTTGTCTTTTCTGTCAAAAAGAGATTAGCAATGGGTAGTGACACATAAAAGACAAAGTAGCAATTCAACACCCATTCCTGATTAACAAAAAAAAAA